TGATGAAAAATGGTGTTGATAGCACACCAATGTTTTAGTTATTGCCAAGCAGCACTTACAGTGTCAAGCCCTTTCCCGCCTCTCACACTGACCCACCAGTCAGTAAAGGTGGGCAAGAAGTTGGGAGGAAACACAGCTGGGACAGCTGACCCCAGCTGACCCAAGCGATATCACACACCGTACAACATGATCAGCAACAAAAGCTGTGGGGAAGGAGGAGGAAGGGGGGCATATTTGGAGTTATGGTGTTTGTCTTCCCAATTCATCATTACATGTGATGAAGCTGCGGAAATGGCTGAACACATGGCTGCTGATGGGATGTAGTGAATGAATTTCTTATTGTGCTTTGTGCACGCAGCTTTCACCTTACCTATTAAACTGTCTTTATCTCAACCCATGAGATTTCACACTTTTACCCTTCTGATTCTCTTCCGCACTCCACCAGGGGAGAGTGAGTGAATGGCTGCTTAGCTGCCTACTGGGATTAAATCACGACAGGCAAATGGTATTTACAGGTATAGTTTCTGAACTATACCCTTACAAACGGACAGTGTCAAGATTATGTACGACAGCATCATGAAAGTAAGTATGACGATTTGACACTCACTAGTAGGCTATCTCAGGAAGTGGGCCACAATCATCTTTTTGTAACGATCACAAATGAAAACCAATTCGGTATTGCCACAGAAGTCAAATAGTACCTGTGTTTGTGAAGCTTTTGCTTCATTCCTGTGTAGCTGGGTAGTGAATGCAAGTGTAACATCAGACATAGTTGGCTTGCTTGGTCCCATCACATTGGCTTGATGCTGAAAATTCAGATATTTGTCCTTTGCTTACAATTACAACCATGAACCTAAGAAGAATCACACATTATTTCTGCCTCTGAAAAGCAATCCCAGGTCCAACATAAATAACAGGTAGAGACCCAATCTGAGGAGGCACGTAGAAATGGAAAACGTATCACGTGCACTCATACAGGTGGTACACAAAATGGAGAGTACAATCCTGCCATTTAAGGCAAAAGTTACAATTTATATCCTTCTTTTACACACGCACCTCCTCCCCCCCAGAGGCAAGAAGCACCATTACAGACTACGAGGCTCATACTGTGAACCACAAGAAGGCTGCCACAGAACTTCTACAGCTATTAGCTATTACTTACCTACAAGGGAAATAGTACGCTGCAATGATAAGAAAAGAAAACTGGCGAGGAAGACAGCTTAAGGCAGTGCTCAGGGCAATTGGGTCTGTACAAAAAATGTTACTGTCAAAGGAAAACGGATCAAGGTCACGGTCACACCTAAACTTCATGGAGAAAGATTTAAAATACTGGCAACGTGTGGAGACCGACAGAAACTTATGTCTTCTTCGTCCGCCTCTGAGAACTGAAAACCGACCAGGATCCAACGCACAAGGCTGCTAA